TCAGATTTAATAGGAAAGCGTTTCCTATTTCAGTGTCTCTGTTACTCGTTTTTTGTTTTCATAAAAAATTGAAGACTGTTCTGTTTAGATGTGAGCAGAGATGCCAGTCACTTTCCCCAAAGATTCCCTGCCACTCACTCCTGTCTCTTCATCTGGCTGGATTCCTCCAGCCTCAGCTCCAGCCATCTTACAGGGGCCTCCTGGACCCTGCTGCTTGGTGGCAACCTGACCAGGAAAGGTATCTCTTCCTCTCCAGCCATGGAGGGGTGCGCTGTGTGCAATCTGCACTTCAGCCACATCACCCTCAGTTCTCTTCCTTGACCTCTCCAGCCTCCTTTGACTGAGGTCACCCTTGGCCTGGGATGCTGTCCCCTGAGTCTTGCCACATTCCTTTCCATCGGGCTAACTGTTCTTCATCCACCCCTCAGACAGGACGGTCTGGTCACTCTGCATTCTAGCAAGCCTGTCCATCAACTGTCCCTGCAGGCCTATACACACAGGAGGATCTGGAAGCTGGTTCTCCCATGACCCTCAGGCCAGGGCATGCCGGTGGTCTTATACACAGGGACATTCCATACCACAGGACAGGGGAGGTGGTGGATGTGTGGTCCCACGGATGACCTGCTGGACTGAAGACCTCCGGGGGTTCAGCTATCAGAAGCACCTTCCCGGAGCAGCGGGGATGCCTGGGACTTGATAGTGTGGTGACCTTGGTGAGTCACCCCTCAGGGAGCAGGGTAGAAAGGATGGCTGTGAACTTTCCTGCAGCCCTCCATCCACCGACACCTCAGGGAGGCCTGTCCTCATTTGCAAATCCCTTGGTTGGAGAGAAGGGCCTTCGTAGGCACGTTGAGAAGAGTGCAGCCTGGGCCTGTCCTGGAGCGGCCTCTGGTGGCTGCTTGAGGACCTGCAGCTTGTCCTTTATCAGGGTCAGACTGGATTTGTCTAGCAGCCCTTCCCAAGGCGTGGCGCCAGCCTGCCTCCTCCGTCTTCATCATGGGGGATTCACTAAGCTGAGGTTTGAGGGTCTGCTTCCGCTTTCTTCCTCTTCCTAGCTTCTACAGACACCCAATTCTGCTATATTCATGGGGCTCAGTTACCAGCTCTATCCTACCCTATCTTCTTGCTACTCTGCAACGCATCTTCCATATTCTCGCCACAAAGAACTCTGACTTCACCACATCACTTTTGGCTTTAGCTTCTACTTGGACTCCCCATTGCCCCAGGACAAAGTTTAACATCTTTGGTGAACGGTGCAAAGATGAGGTGAGGCAGGGGCTGTTGGCACTGATCAGCTTGGTGTTATAAGGACATCATCATGGGTTCAGGAACTTGGCTTTTAGGGTAACTAGACGTCAACAGGCAGGAGACACAATTTCCAGTCTAGAAAATCCCTGTAGCAGCTGGCATAGAACCCAGCCCCCAGCCTTCTACTTTGCACTCTTTGGGAATTTGCAGGGTCTTTTTTTTTAAGCTGACAGTGACCTTGACCTTCTGATCCTCCTGTCTCCACCTTAGAAGGGTTGGGATTATGGGTGTGCACCACCATGCCCAGTCTATGTGTCGTGCTGGGCATGGAACCCCGGGGCTTCAGGCATGCTAAGCAAGCACTCCACCAACTGAGTTACATTCTCAGCCCTTTGCTGGTCTTTCCACTAATCATGAGACTGGGGGCACAGTTAGTGGGGCCTGGATTCAGGATATCAGTAATATGTATGCAGAGGCTGGCTTGCATGGGAATGCAGAGCATTTTCCATAGTTGTTACCATAGAATATACTAGAAATACAGATGCTGAGAAAATTGAAGGAAGATTGTTCCTTGTCTCCTTTGAAAGCATATGGAGTTGAAAACGTACTGGGAAAGTGCATACCTACTGCCAACGCACTTAGACATTTGAGCTGTGATAGGCAGGACACTCCCTATACCTTTGCCTTGGTGACTGTCACACTCCAGGGGTCTACGAATAGGTGAAAACTTCCTGTTATTTTATTGGGTTCTCTAGTGTACCCCATAAACATACTTACAATTTGAAATCCATATACCTTTTTTTTTTTTTTTCTTTTTTGTCTTTTTGAGACAGGGTCTCCCTGTAGCCCCAGCTGACCTAGAACTCACTATGTAGACCAGGCTGGTCTTGAACTCACAGAGATCTGCCTGCCTCTGCCTCCCAAGTGCTGGGACTACAGGCACGCGCCACCACGCCCGGCTGAAATCCATATACTTTTTAAAAATTTACTTACTTTTATTTTGTGTATGAGTGTTTTTCCTATATGCAAGTGTACCACATGCATGTAATGACCTCAGAGACCAGAAGAGGGCGCCAGATCCCCTGGAACTGGAGCTATGGATGGTTGTTAGCTGCTATGTGGATGCTGAGAACCAAACCCCGGTCCTCTGCAAGGGCAGCCAGTGCTCTTAACCCCCAAGCCATCTCTCCGGTCCTTTGAAATTCATATAATTAAAAATTATTTATTAATTTAACCAACATTTGTTTAACTGTTTTAGATACCTTCCGAATAATTACACAGCTGGCCCCCATATACCTAGAAAGGTGCTGTTGTTTCTTATTTTACTTGCCAAGTTACTTACCCAAGATCACAGAACCATAAAGTGGAGAACTCGGGATTTGAACTAATACCTATGTCCTTTACCATTGTCCTCCTGTGGGCCCCTCTGATATTTCAGTTCTGGCATTGGGGTGATTTCTTCTCTCTCTCTCTCTCTCTCTCTCTCTCTCTCTCTCTCTCTCTCTTTGGACTTTTTGAGACAGGGTCTCTCTGCTATAGCCCAAGCTGGCCTGGAACTCACTATGTAAACCAGGCTGGCCTCAAACTCACAGTGATCAGCCTGCTTCTACCTCCCCAAGTGCTGGGATTAAAGGTGTGTACCACCAGGCCTGCTGGGATGATTTCTTTTGGGAAAAAAAGTATATCTTGTTTAATTTCAGGGTAATATGGGATTATTGAAATACTTGTCACTAGGAGACTGGAGAGATGGCTCAGCGGTTAAGGACATTGGCTGTTCTTGCAAAAGACCTAGGTTCGAATCCCAGCACCCACAGGGGGGCTGACAACCTTCTGTAATTTCAGTTCCAGGGTCTCCGACACCCGTTTCTGTCCTTTGTGGGCACTGCACAACATGGGTGCACTTACACACATGCAGGCATAACATTCATGCACATAAAAAAATAAATTAAAAAATAAACACTTGTCACTAGGAGGGAGTTGAGTCAAAGTTAAGAACCACTGGTAGAGAGCTCTTGCTCGCGGTTCCTTCTAGTGGGTCCAGCCCTCGGTCCTGCTGTATTCTTCACATCCAGACCCCCGGGTGCTGGCCAGAGTTTCCTGGCCTCATCATGCAGCCCCCACACCAGGTTTACGACCACACAGGACACTCCCGAGCTTAGCCACTAGGTGGCGCGTAGCGGCTTCAGGGCCTGCACCGGGGGCGGGGCTCCGAGGAGCCAGCAGCGTTTCCAGGACCCCTGAGCTCCTTTTCAGAGCCTTCGGGTACCGCGGGTGGGTGGGTGGAGACTGTGGGAGACCGTAATCCTCTTAGTACTCTTAGGAGGTGCCCAGATCCCTGGAACAAAGAGAACTCGCACAGCTGCTCTGTAAAGTCTCCCGAGGCCGGAGCTGTTACCCCATTTTACAGATGAGCAGACAGGCTCAGAGAAGAAAGGCATCCCCGGGTCATTATAGCTGAGCTCGGGCGCGGGTCTGTTTAGCCGTGGGGACTGTGTTTCTTTCCTCCTCGAGTGTAGCACGACTTCTCCAGGGCTGGGCTAGAGAAGTCCCTGGTCTGGTGAGAACTGGGGAATTAAAGATGAGTGGGGACCGAGGTTCCAGAGACCAAAGCAGACCTCCAAGCCTGGAGAGAAGGTTGCTGCGTGGGGACCGACTGGGGAACTTCAGTTCCGTCTCTGGGGACCCAGGAGCACTGTCAGTCATCTGGGTTAGAGACTCAGCGTGACTACTGGTCACTCATGCCCTGGGATACCCATCTCCCTGCCTCACCTTCCCCTCCCCAGGAGTACAGCCCAGAGCCCCAGTAGCTGCCTTGCCAGACAAGACAGAGCTCAGAGACAATGGCAGAATCCACCACTACTGACTGGGCTGGCTCACTTCAGGAAAGACCCTTCAGCAAGGAGGCCCTGCCCCCACGAAGAGGGATGCAGCTCTATGTGGCAGGGTCTTTGAGATCCGGGGGGGTTGGGTGGGGGTGTCCTGGCTCCAGGTCTCCTAGAGGAACTCCTCCGTAGCTTCCCTTTTGAGGGGGCGACTGGAGCAAGCAAACAGTGCAGCTTGTGACTATAAAGTTAGACAAAGAGAAGGACTTGGGCGGGGGGGGGGGGCAGAAAAGGATCCATTTGGCTAGTGAGGGTGTGGGAAAGGTGGAAGCAGGCAGGGGGCCACGTGGCCCAGGGCCGGGTAACTTGATTATAACCCCAGGGATAAGGATGGGAGCTGTGTTGCAGGGTAGGACTGAGGAAGCGGTGGGGACTTGAGGCTTGAAGGTGGGGCAGTCAGGAACCCTGGCGGGAGGAGGGGGAGGGGCTGTGTTAGCTCAGGTGGATTAGGAGCAGGTAAGGGAACTCACTGGGAGAGACAGGGACTGGGGGGGAAAAACAGGGTCCTGCAGCTGGGGGTGGGGGGTATCTCTGAGCGCTTGGGAAAGGTGGAGACCCGTCTCACCTGGTAGGAAGGTGAGAAATCTTTCCTAGGGGGTGGGCCACAGGGAGGGAGGGCTGTGCACTGAGACCCAGGGTCAGGCTGCTCTGGGGCTGGGGCCTAGGAAGGGGCTGCTGTCTGGTGAGAGAGGGTGGGTCAGACCCTCCCTTAAGATCTTGCCCGCCGGGAAACAGCAGGAGGCGGGGCGGGGAGGGAGGGCCGGAGGAGGGGCCGGGCCTCTGTCCACCGCATTAGTGCTGGTTGGAGGGACGAGGGGGCGCGGAGCCAGCCAAGCGGCCAGTTCCCACAGGCGGGCAGAGAGGGCTGCCATGGCGCTGGCGGGGCCTGTGACCTGGGGCTCCAGACCAGGCCTCCTGTTGCTGCTGCTGCTGCTGCTGCTACTACTGCTGCCCTGGTCTCCAGCCCTCACCCTCCTGGCTGGTGAGTGTGGCTGGGCCTGGTCTGAGTGCCCGCCAAGCTAGAGGGAGTGGTATCCCGGCCCCCAGAACACATGGGGACCTTGGGTTGGTGTGTTCTGGAACTCACATGGAGATCTTGGTGTGCTCTGGCAGCTTCATGTTAAGGGGGCTTTGCAAGTGGATTGGGGGAGTTAGGGGTGAAGGATGGGTGGGAGCTAATCTGGGGGACCTGGTGTTGTGGTGTAGTGTGGTGTGGTGTGGTGTTGTGTGATGTGCTTCTTAGGAAAATCTGAGAATCCTGGGATGGGATGTCCCATAGGGAAAGGGTGTGGGGCTGGATGAGTCCTGGATGGGAGTGAGTCTGGGAAGTTTCAGGGAGCATGGTGACACTGCAGTCTGCTGGAGTCATGTGCTGAGTTGGGATGCAGGTGGTGTGTAAAGTGGGTAAGCTGTCTGGGAGTCAGCCTGTGGGAGTTATGTCTTAGGGCACTAAGTGTAGAGAGCTGTGTCCCAGGGGAGCTGGGTGTAAGCTGTTCAGCATGTTGAACTTACCTTTCCTGGCAACACAGGGGAGTCTGGGGGACCCCAGCAGAGTGGATTGTGATGGAGGAAGGGAAAGAGACCCAGAGAAGTGGGATGCTTACCTACACCCCTCCCTTCTATGGGCCCCTTGTCTGCACTTGGATTGAGGCTAGGGTCCCTGGAGTGGCTGGGATTTGAGATCATGTGTGTATCCCCTGCAGCCTGTCCCTGGTGTTCCCCAACCAGGCTGAAAGGGCTCCCTGAAGCCAGCCCAGACGGCCAACAGCCTTTTGGTTTCATCCAAGTGAGCACTGAGCCTGGAATTCCAACTGTGGGGTTTGAAGGATGCTTTGTTTTGGTCACTATAGCTACATGGGCTAAGCTGCCAGTACACCACCTGCTGGAGGGCTGCAGGGAGAGCCTGGGCTCCCCTATGACTGGTGAGCCCCTCTGAGTCCTCTGATCTCACCTGTGGCCTTCCCTATGCCTGTCCACAGAACCTTTATTCCTCTTCCTTCTGGGGATGTGGGAAGGAGGAGGACCTGAGGGACAGTGAGGACTCCATTTTGTAGGGAGGAGACTAAAGCTCAGGGAGGGTGGGGACGTAGAAGCTGGGTGCCTGAGGCAATTGAAGACTGAGGGAAGACCAGGCTACTTTCTACTGTCCACACAATGAGGGCATGACCTGGCCTGTGCACCTGGGGTCTGTCCCTGCCCCACAGTAATGCCTGTGACACCTGCACAGCTGTGTGGCCTGGACTAGGGCACACACTGAAACAGAAAAGGTGTTCACAAGCACATGCTGATCCACCCCTGTGAACTCACTGATGAACCTGCCATGCATCTCCATGCATGTCACACATGCCTGCACACACCAATGTGTACACAGCAACGGACCTGCGTTGACCTGTGTTTATATTCAGATATACATGTATACCAGCCGTGAGCCTTGGCAGATACAGCATATCAGAGGTGTGCAGAAGAGAACACCATAACATTTACATGCCCCCACAGCCCCACTGGGCTGAGGGACTGCCATTCCCTCGACACATCTCTATGCATGGAGCCCATCCCAAGAATCCCCAAAAGCTGGAGTGGGGATACTGCAAGCACCAGTACCCAAGGAATGACTGAGGGAGGGAAGCTGCCAGGGACTAAAAAGCTCATTTTTATCCCAGAGGATGTGGGGGTTCTGGAGGCTCTGGTACAAGCCCTGCTGCCCACCCCTGCCAGGCCCTGAGCTGGGCCCCTCCATCCCAGCCACTCTGCAGCAGAGGCCCACCGGTTGTCATGGAGAGGATGAAGCATCTTGGAGTACAAAGGGACACGTCGGGTTGTTCTCACCCCCTTCCCCTTAGAACAGAGAGCACAGTGCACAAAGGGCAGCCAGTCCTCCCCAAACTTCACTCCTTCTCCAACCTGAGGGGTGAGGTCTGCAGAGAGAATCAGGGAAGGGTGGAAGCCACATACTTGCTACCAGTGTAGGGTCTACTGGTTACTGGGTGCTTGCTTCCAGTAAAGGTTTGCTGATGAGTGAATCACACTAGCCACTATGTGGATTTGGTTTAATCCTCCCAGCACCCTGAGGCGGCTCTGTATGTCTTTGTTTACAGAACAGGTAAATGAAGCCCAGAGAGGGTCAACAACTCATCCAGGGTCACAGAGCAGTGTGTGGCCGGGACTAGGATGTCACAGCAGGAGATTCTCTAGGTGGTCACATCGTCTTTGTTCCTCTGTAAAATGGGAGCCATTGCTCCATGGACTATGATGTCAATGATGACACAGGACCCCAATTTCAAGGGAAAAAAATTTTTAAAAATTATTTATTTTATGTGTATGAGTATTTAGCCTGCATGTATGTAAGTACACCTGCGTGTTCAATATCCACAGTCTAGAAGAGGGAGGGCTTCGAATCCACTGGAACTGGAGTTACAGATAGTTGTTAGCTGCCATGTGGGTGTTGGGAACTGAACCTGGGTCCTCTGTAAGTGCAGCCGGTGCTCTTAATCACCGAGCCATTTCTCCAGCCCCGGAAAATTTTGGATTATTATTGTTATTATATGTATGTGTGCACTGACTTGCGCACTCCTGCCTGTACATGAGTACCATAGCCCAGTGTGGAGTCAGTTCTCTCCTTCCACTTTTACGTGGGTTTCTGGGGTTAGCAAGCCTGTGTGGCAAACACCTTTACCGGGGCCACTTCACCAGCCTTCAGGGAAATTTTAGATGGAAGCATATGAATAGTTACTGGGGAATTGGTCTTGCAGTAGCCAGTCCAGGTGGCCGATGTGAACCAACCCTGCTTGTCTTCCTGCACTCTGGTGAGACTCTGGTGAGACCAGGGACTAGAAACAAGTGCTGGGCACTGAGATGCTCCACCGGGGACATCTGTTGCTATTAGTGTCACCAAATTATGTCTTTTAACCTCAGGAGTAAAGATCTTTGAAAAAGAATGTTCCAAACTTTGCTGCCTTCTAGAATATTTTGGCCTTTTCCTGATGAGACTGTGTGGGTACTGAGAGTCAGCGACCCCTACTGTGTTGTATTCTCTGGGGCCCAGAGAAAGTAAGTGAATTCAGCTGTTTATTAGCTCAGGTAGAGAAATTCTTAAGCCAGGTAAGGCCTGGCATAGTGGGATGCTAGGTGCTGGGCTCAAGGTAGACAGGGAAGTCTGCTGCTCTGCCAGGCTGTTGTCCCCCGACCCTGTGCCACCCCAGTGCTGGGGATGCAATCCAGGGCCTTTTGCACATGCTAGACAAGCATTCTACCATTGAGTCACACGCCAGTCCCCAGACCTCTAGAGACGCTTCTGGTGGAAGAGATGGGCTGAGGGACCTACTAGGGTGACAGTGCTTGGGAGTACAGTTTCACATGCATCTACATTTGCGATTTTTTTAGCCTCTTGATGTTGGAAAAACAGTTCATTTTCTTATTTATTTATTGATTATTTATTTAACTAATTAATTTATTTTTTGTAGTAGTTCTCTTAACAGTGTCCCTTTTCTAACGAACCAAATAGACCAAGGTGGCAACAGATGTTGGGCCCCAGTGTGCACGTGGTGACTGCATCGGTCGCCCCTGCCCTCCTCAGGGCGGGGCTGGAAGCAGGTCTAAGGGGAGGGCCAGGGTCCTGTGTCTGTTAATCTCTCCTCTGCCAGGTCAGCCCAGGCAGCCTGAGAGGTCAGGAGGGATTTGTAAAGATAAGCACAGGCCCCTCGTCGCCCTGGCGACAGGCTCCGCCCCTGCAGCCAGGCCCTGGGGCTGGCCCCTCCCTGCCCCCCCCCCCGGGCCTCCTGGGCTCACTGCCGAAAAACTGGGGTCACCCTAGTTCCCACCCCTCAAGGTGGGAAGCCTTCTCCAGGGAACCGATATTTTACAGGTGCACTGGCCGTTGCTCCAGGGTTCTGAATCTGTGGGCCCCTGATCTGCATTCTCTGGCTGTGGGTGGCTCTGAAACCCTGGGGTGCAGTGGTTGTGGAAGTGGCCGGTTTCTGAGTTGCAAAAAAGGCAGATAAAAACTCCCCACGTCATAGGTACCTAGGCCGCGAATGAAGGGCTTACATGTAGGCAGGAGTGAAGCAGGCTTGAAGCCTCTTGTTCCTTGCTGCCTGGCTCCTCTGGAGACATCCAGTGCGGCTGGCTTGGCCTTGCAGTAATTCCTATCTATAACTACTGGGTTCTGGGAGGACTCCAGAGGTGAGATGCCTGCTTTCCCAGGTGCTGTCCTCCAGCCTGGTGACTAAAACTGGAGGGCTCCCAGTTAGCTCCAGTTGGGGTGAAGGGGTCCTTGAGCCACAGAGATGAGAGGTTGTGTCCTGATGGGATTGAAATGTGGGCTGTTGGCCCGGAGCCCAGTAGTCAGGTCCACTATACGCCATATGAGGAGTTAGGACTATTTCTCCTGAGCCTTTTGGGTCAGGGGTCCCAGACCATTGTGGCCACTGTCCCTCAAAGAGGGCTCATGGAGTGCCAGGGTTTCACACACATCATCTTGGAGGCTCCTCACAGCACTCCAGAAGGTCACTGTTCATACCCCAGATACAGCCTGGATCTGTCTGATGCTCCCAACTGTGCCTTTTCCTGAAGGAGCTCCCTCCACTGCTCCCACACACCCTCAGACCATCTTCCCACCCCCTCCATCAGACTATCTGCTTATCCCCACAGGGCATCTATCCTGGGGCACCTGTGCAGAGCTGCTCAGTTACAGTACCAGCGGGAAGTCACTCACTAACCCCAAGGTCCTCAGAAGAGCAGTCCAGGTGCCTTCTGTCCTACCTGACATGTCCAGGCCTGGCAGAGAGCTGGAAATGGGTGCCTAAGCAGGGAGAAGAGCTGTGGGCAGAGAGTCCCTTTGGCCAGAAGGTGTCTCAGACTCTGGTACCCTGTCTCCTGCCAGGCCTTGGTTGGTGCTAGGCCTCATTGTGGAAGGATGAGCCATCAGCAGTCCTGGGCACTTGCAGTGGCATTGGGCAGTTCCTGGGTCCACTGTCCCGGTAGCTTGTTGTCCTCCATCCTGCTTGGACTGCTGAGGAGCCTGGAGATCTGGTCAGCAGACGCCCTGCCCCATGGAATGTGCATGACGCCTGAAAGGCTACCAGCCTTATCTGGGGGTCTTCATGGAGTGGGGGAGGGGATGGTGCTGTTCACTGCTCAGGCCTGGTTAGTGTCTGGATGACAACTTGAAAGTATGTCCTGGAACTCCAGGTTGGGGGTGGGGGTGGTGAGGAGGGTGGAGGAGCTCCTGCTTCAGGCTCCCCTCCCCCACATTTGTCTCCAGCACCTGGGGCTTTGAATTCTTCTGTAGCCCACAGGGAAGTGGAGGCTCAGTAGAAGTGACTTGCCCAAGGTATCACAGCTTGTAGTTTTCTGAGGTAGGGTTTGACCTCAGGCCTGTTAGTAACAAGGATCTCAGGCTGGGATAAGGGGAAGTCACCTGGACTCGGTTTCTAGGTGTGGAGTCAGGTACCTAATAAACAGGTCACTATACCTGCTCTGTCCCGGGGTGACTACAGCTGGTTGAGTATGAAATGAGTGCCAGGGATCCTCTAGGAGTTCCCAGGCCAGCAGGCAGGATGACAGGAGCAGACTAGGTGGGGGTGAAAGGCTGAGCCCAGGCCTTGCCTTTGAAGTTGCCCATCCTTTCTCAGAGGCTGAAGTTAGACATCTCAGGTTTCAGTCAGGGATGGAGTTACCAGACCCCCAGCAGGGGTTTGAGGGGTAGAAGCTGTCCCCTCCATCCCACTTTAGCCTGGCACTGAGGGGACACAGGCTGCAGAACGGAAGGCACGGAGAAGCCCCTTCTTGGTGCAGCAGGAACAAGCCAGTGATGACGCCTACACCATGCAAACTTGCTGTGTGATCTCAGCAAGTCCTTACTTTCTTGAGCTCTACTGTTCGCTTATAAAGTGGACACAGGACAGTCCTTGCCTCCTAGGGAGGTGACTGGAAAGCAGATCTGGTAGTGTCTGTTCTATAAGCCTGTCACAGGGAAGTCAGATATTCCAACCTGTATCTCTGCTCTGAAGATGAACTAAAACCTGCCTCAGGGGCTCAGGATGTAGCTTACTCGATAGAATGCTTGCTTAGCACTAGCAAAACCCTGGGTTTGATCCCCAGCACCCAAAATGAGAGTAGTGGCATATGCCTGTGATCTCAGCACTCAGAAGATAGGCATAGGACCATCAGAAGTTTAAGGTCACTCTTGGATACATAGAAAGTTCCAGGTCAGCTTGAGCTACAGGAGAGTCCATCTCAAAAATAGAAATAAACACAAATAAATAAATAAAACCGGCCTCCGTTCCAGGTGTAGACATCTGCTACATATTATGACTGGCTTGCAGATGCCCTAGGTGTCCATGCATGCTCCTGATCATGGACAGACCTGTGTTCCTCTTAGGTTTATGGCTGGACTATGGGTGGGAGAGGGGCGCATTATGCAGCTTCTGTCCATATTGCCCAGTTGTTTCCTCTTTCCACAGGGCTGGTTCCTTCGGTGACTCCAAGTGCCTGTGCCTCAGACCCATGTGCTCTGGGGAGTAAGTGCCAGGCTACAGAAAGTGGTGGCTATACCTGTAAGCCCACAGAGCTTGGGGGCTGTGCCACCCAGCCATGTCACCATGGCGCACTGTGTGTGCCCCAGGGCCCTGATCCTAATGGCTTCCGCTGCTACTGTGTGCCTGGCTTCCAGGGCCCTCGATGTGAGCTGGACATCGATGAGTGTGCATCCCGGCCCTGCCACCACGGGGCCACCTGCCGCAACCTGGCTGATCAATTCGAGTGCCACTGCACTCTGGGCTATGAAGGTAAAATGCTGGCCATCCTTAGAGGTCTGAACGTTGGAGCCTGTCAGCTATTCACAGTACGAAAATCCCCATTGGGTTGTGGCTGTAGTCTGGAGATGTCCCACACAGGCTGGTGGCTTCAGTACCCATTCTTGGATTGGCTGCCAAACTGGCGTTTCTCAGGCTAACCTGGCAAGTTGAGGCTAGAGCATACATTTTGAGTGCTGGTGTGGGGCCTGACACATATCAGGCACTTGACAAATACAGCTTTTGTCCCTGCCACAGAGCTGAGTTTGGCTTAGGTGGGAGGCAGGGAGCAACCCTCAGGCATCCTTGGCAGGGCATGTAGACCCTGTGTGATTCACCTGATGAGCTCTAGATAAGACACTGTGGTATGGCTCAGGATGTAATTCAGAGCCCTGTCCTCTAGGAATCCTGTGTTATAACATAAAGACACACCTAGATCCAATTTTGTTTGTGATGGGGATGTGTCCCCAGACATCCCTGCTGCCTGGAGTGGAATAATGTAGACACAGGTGCTCAGAACCGTGGCTGGCATGGATCCACATGGCTCCCTTCTCCAGAGATTGCCCCATCCCAGTTGCTTTGTGCTCCTGGAGCTGCCTTCTGGAGCCACCTGAGGTCTGGAGGGAGAGCACAGCTAGTGATAGATCTTCAAGGGATGTTCAACCTAGGTAATCTGGAGTCTGCAGCACAGACACTGGGTGGTTCCCTATCAACCTTGAATTCAGACTATGTGTTCAAACTGTGGGCAATTAGAAGTCCCCTCAGGGCAAATGGTACAGACTGGAAACAGAATTCCAGGAAGGACGTAGAGGGATGAGAAGGCATCCTGGTGAGAGTAAATGGAGACACTGGTCCTTCATCATTCCCCTCCTTCATATGCCTCAGCGTCTGCACACTTACTGCAGGTTCCAGCAGTCTTTGTATGCTCTGGTTTGAGGCCTGTAAGACAGCTGTAAGGGGGCCTCTGTACACCTACCTGTATCTGCGCACATGTGGGCTCTGTGAATGCTTCTGTGGGGAGCATCTGTGTGTGAGGGACAGCAGGTATGTGAGCACCGGATGTGCAGGATTCTGGTAACTTTCTGGTGAGTGTGAAGTGAGCAGGCAGCTTTTTGTGACTCATTTCTTTCCTTTTTCCATTCAACAGGGTGGGGGAGTTGGAATTCCAGGCAGCCTGGCCCTGGCTCTCCCTGGCACAGAGGGGGGTAGTGGGGCTGGAGGGTCATGGGAAGGAGGAGCCCTGAGGCATGATTGCTGGGCCGGGAAGTCGGGAGGGCTCCAGCTGGAGTCAGCTGCTCCCTGGCCCCCATCACCAAACCCACATAGGAGGCAGCATCAGGGCCACAGAAATCAGTACACTGACACAAGACTCCAAGACTCATAAATCTCTACACCTTGAGATTCTCTATCTCTCTTGGCTTCCACTGCTGGGGAGGGCCAATGTGTAGTCATGGTTTTCCCAGAGCCAAGGGGATTCCTGGGTGGAATCAGTGACTTCCAGTTTTAAAGCCAAGACAGTACAGAAGCTGGTGAGCCTACTCCAGTGTGTCCTGTCGGGGGTATATGCAGCACTTCTCTTCTGTTGGGGTCCCTTCCTTACACCCTCCTCCAAGCCACTAGTGAGGCTTTTGAGATACAGGCAGGGCCACCCCACTGAGCTGCTGTTAGTGCCTTGTCTCATGGCTGTGAGTGCCTGACAAGAAGCAACTTAAGGAAGGCTGTATTTTGGCTCATGGGGGGGATACTGTCCATCACGGTCCATCATGGCATGGATGACGAGCATGAGGCAACTGGTCACATTTGTGTCCTCAGTCAGGAAGCAGACACAGGTGAATGCTGGTGCCCCACTTGCTTTCTCCTTTTTGTTTTCCCCCTTTTAATTCAGTCCAGGACCCCAGTCCCTAATATGCTACTATCCACATTCAGGGTGGGTCTTCCCTCATCAGTTAAACCCCTCTGGAAACTTCCTCACAGACACTCCCAGAGGTGTGTCTCCTAGGTGATTACAAATCTAATCAAGCTGACCACAAGATTAACTACCACAGATGACAACCACTTTAAAATAAAAAAATAAATAAATAAAAATAAAAAGATTCATTTTTACTTCTGTGTGGGTGCCTGAGGTGGCTAGAAAAGGGCGACTGATCCCCAGGGGCTAGGGTTCCATGCAATTGTGAGTGGGTACTGGGAACCAAATTTGGGTCCTCTGGAAGAGCAGGATGCAGTTTAGCCATCTCTCCAGCCTCAACTGCCAAGTTTTGGGAGAGCCAAAGTCTGGCCTGGCTGGTCCCTGATGCACCCATATCTCTTACTTTCTTCACTTACCCTTGTTTCTGTTCCTTCTCAAACCTCCCTTCCAGGGCATTATGGCCCTTCCTCAAGAGGGGTGCCACTAACTGCAATCCACCTGCCCTGTCCCAATCCTTCAAAAAGTGCTTCCTTCAGAAGCCTTTCCCGGCCCCACTCCCCAGAGCAGCTGCTGGCTGGAGCTCTCATAGGATCCAGTTCTCTCCCTGGTGGAGCTCATCATGATTAAACACCAGCCCTTCCTTGGCCTAGAGGTTGTGAGGTCTGCCTGGGTAGGGACGGTTCTCTTATTTCTACCCGCAGGCGGCTCCTAGTAACTGGAGCCGACAAGGGTTGCTAACTGGGCTCCTATCACCCCTCTGGGCGTACATCTCCCGGATCCGCACGTTTCTTGCCCCGGTTCAGGTGTGACCTGCGAGGCCGAGGTTGACGAGTGCGCGTCGGCGCCTTGCCTGCACGGAGGCTCGTGCCTGGACGGCGTGGGCTCCTACCGATGCTTGTGCGCGCCGGGCTATGCGGGCGCCAGCTGCCAGCTGGACGTGGACGAGTGCCAGAGCCAGCCGTGCGCTCACGGGGGCGTGTGCCACGACCTGGTCAACGGGTGAGTGAGGGGGTCGGGGGTCGGGATGCACTGGCCGCAGGACGCAGAGCTGCGGGGCAGGCGCAAGATCAGCTTCCTCTGCGCCCACCGCAGGTTCCGGTGCGACTGCGGGGACACGGGCTACGAGGGTGCGCGCTGCGAGCAGGAGGTGCTGGAGTGTGCATCCGCGCCCTGTGCGCACAACGCGTCCTGCCTCGACGGCCTCGGGAGCTTCCGCTGTCTCTGCTGGCCAGGTGCGTGCGCACTTGCGCGCTCCGGGCCGCTAGCTGCGGCGGCGGGGTTGGGGGGCCTTTGGGGCGAATGTGAAGCCTTGAGCAATCCCGTGCGCTGTCTGGGCCTTCTGGGACCTGCTTGTAACTGCAACCTGTTTGAGTCTCAGTTTCCCGATCTCAAAATAGGCTGATACAACACTCTCCTCGGGTTGCAGTGAGGAGAGTCATGGCGTGAGGATGGTCTAGCACCTGGCCTGGGTCTGGCACACGCAAAGGGCTCAGAATATAGTATTCCGAGCAATTGGCAGTCGGCCCTGCAGGCCGCCGGGCCATTCTTAGCCCCTGTTGTCCTCGGTCAACAAGCACATTCTGAGCTCAGGTCCCTGTCCGGCTCTGGGTTGGCTAAGGGTCATGGAGGGGAGCTGCCTGTGGACTTCGTGTGATCTGGGGTCTCTGGGTGCATCCCCAGGCTTCAGTGGAGAGCTGTGCGAGGTGGATGAGGACGAGTGTGCGGTGGACCCCTGCCATAACAGGGGCAGGTGCCTGCAGCGCTCCGACCCAGCCTTGTATGGGGGCGCCCAGGCCACCTTCCCTGGAGCTTTCAGCTTCAGCCACGCTGCGGGCTTCCTGTGCAGCTGCGCTCCAGGCTTTGCGGGTGAGTCGCCTGCTGGGAAAGCACTCAGCATGGGTATAGAACCCCAAGGACGGAGCCAGCCTGGCCCAAGCCTGGCCCGCCAGGTAGCATTCTGCCTGAGTCAGTCAGTCAGTCAGTCAGTCAGTCAGTCAGTCAGTCAGTCAGTCAGTCTCTTTCTCTCTCTCTCTCTCTCCTTTCCCTTCCTCCCCCCATCCCTCCCTCTCTCTCCCTCTCTCCCCCTCTCTCCGGCTCTCCTTCTCTGGGCCTCAGTCTCCCTAGTTGTAAAATGGGCCCTTTTGGTTCTGGTCTGGCTCTAAGGGTGCAGGCGGCAGCCACAGCTGAGCCTCTTACAGGGGACGACTGCAGTGTGGATGTGGACGAATGTGCCTCACAGCCATGCCTCAACGGAGGCAGCTGCCAGGACCTGCCCAATGGCTTCCAGTGCCACTGCCCGGATGGCTACACAGGTGCCCAGGTGGGGTGGGGTGGGCATGGAGACAGGGTTGGGTGGTTAGGTCCTTTCTGGCTGAAGTGTGGATTGATGAAACTGGAGGTAGGTGCGGTGGCACAGATGACAGCTGGGAATTGCTGACCTAGGACTCCAGCTTTGGAAGTGGAAGGAGGAAGGGCTGGTCAGTTTGAGCATAGTGAGGATGGACATACTGAGTGGGCTAAGCCAAGCCTGCCAGGGGATCACCTGCCCTGGTCGTGATGACTTTACCCTATGAATACTGTGTCTATGGAGCACATAAGAGGGAAACCAGCCTGAAAGTCTAGGGACTGGCCTGAGAGAGGAGCCTGGACAAGAGTCAGAGTTGGGGGTCAGGGATAGATGCCTGGTGGCTTAGTCCATGGGTGGGCTGACCTTACTGGGAGAACCAGCAGAGTGCTGGCGGGGAAGCTGAGACCTGGACTTTGCCATTAAAGAGGGACAGAGCCAGCCAGGCGTGGTGGCGCTCGCCTTTAGTCCCAACACTTGGGAAGCAGAGGCAGGTGGATCTCTGTGAGTTCAAGACCAGCTTGGTCTACATAGTGAGTTCCAGGCCAGCTGGGACTAAAAGACCAAAAAAAAAGAGGGACAGAGCCTCAGCCAGGACAGAATAGAGAGGCTGCCCTGGGTACAGGTGCAGACCCTCTGAAGGACAAGCTTTACCTCTGGAGAACTGTGTCTGCTGACAGCAGCTGTGGTGCGAAAGTTCTCTTCCTGCAGACACATGGCCACCCATGAACCCAGAAACTGTACACACCTTCCCCTTCCCTAGAGTCCCTGCCCCCACTGGAATGCTGGTGGCACTCCTCCACATGCCAGCATTCCTGCTCAGCACCGGCTCCTCTCCCTGCAGATTCCTGGACACAAGCTCCCTCACTTAGGGAAGGGGCTGGCGATCCAGACCCTCTCTCCTACCCTCACTACTCAAAGAATTGGGGATCAACACCCCCACCCAGGGTAACTCATGCCCATCCACTGCTCCTGTTGGTTGAGTCCCCTTTTCCCAGTCCTGCCCCAGTGGCCCACTCCTCCACAGGCCTATGAGGTAAAAGTTGCCATCCTCATCTCCTAGATGTGGCAATAGAGGCTTGGAGAGGGGTGTCATATATAGTGTGGGCGGGAGCCCAGCTCCTTCGAGTTGAGCACCATTGATGGGTGAAAGGGAGGGCAGACATCTGAGATCAGGGCCCAGGAGGAGAGACCCTGGCTGTGAGGCTGGGCTCCATGCCCAGCCTCCCTTGAGGCAGCACTGGGCAAGTGGGAGAGGTCAGTCTGGAATTCCTGAGCTGGTTCAGATGGAGGCAGGCAGGCCAGGCAGGGGGCTCTCGGCTCCCTAGTCTTGGTGTGTTTGTGAAGGACGATGGGACTGTGGGTTCTGGGCCCTTTCCTGGGGGGTCTGTGGCTCCTAGCAGGTAGGAAGATGGGGGTGTCTGGCAAGGGGAGGTTGGAACAGGTGACTGGTGGTCAGGAGGAGGCTGTAGGCAAGTGGGCTGATTGGTCCTGGCTCTGAGTGCTGGTGGCTCCTCTGGGTCTGGGTCTCTCTCCAGCTGAGTTGTCAAGGGCAGGGCTGTCTTAGCTTGTATTGTGGAAGTGCTGGCCAAACTGGGGTTGGCCTTTTGATCCTGGAGGGGAGAATTGGGTGGCATCTTCCCCAGCAGTGTGGGGATCCTAGGGCAGAGGGACTGAGTGGTGGGCCCTGGGGCCTGCTCATTGTGCCCCAGATGTATCATCCACCCTCACTCTTTCATCTTCACTCTTCATACAAGTGAGGGAGGAGGCAGAGGTGGGAGAAGAGGGGGAGACAGAGAATGCTCAGGGAGTCAAACCTATAGGGCACAGAGACTCACCAGACATGGCAAGGGAAGGAGGTATCTTGGGTTCTGGTCTACAGTGAATCTCAGGGGATCCAGAGAAAGCCTTTGGGATTAGCTTGGTGGGTAGGTACTGAGGCCGATCAGTATCTCAAAGAGGCATACAAATTCTGGGTGGGAGATTATGGCTTTGGCCCCAGCTTACTGAGCCTTGGCTGGTCTCCCCTTTAGGTCTGACATGTCAGGAAGAAGTGGACGAATGCTGGTCGGAGCCCTGCCTGCATGGTGGAACCTGTGGTGACACTGTTGCAGGCTATATCTGCCAGTGCCCTGAGGCCTGGGGTGGCCATGACTGTTCTGTGCAGCTCACTGGTTGCCAGGGCCACACCTGTCCACTGGCTGCCACCTGTATCCCCACCTTCCAGTCTGGGGTTCACAGTTATGCCTGTCACTGCCCACCTGGGACCCATGGGCCTTTCTGTGATCAGAACACCACTTTCTCAATTGTGGCTGGGAACCCTGTGTGGGCATCGGTGTCAACTGGTGGTCCCCTGGGCCTGACAATGAGGTTCCGAACAACGGTACTCGCAGGGGTCCTGGCCACTCTCAATGACACCCAAACCAGCTTGGAGCTGGTACTTTTGGGGGCCACGCTCCAAGCCACACTCTGGAGGCACAGTACCACCGTATTTGTCCTCAGACTGCCAGACTTAGCCTTAAATGACGGCCACTGGCACAAGGTGGAGGTGGTACTTCACCTAGAGACCCTGGAGCTGCGTCTCTGGCATGAGGGCTGCCCTGGCCAGCTATGTGTGGCCTCTGGTTCTGTGGCCACAGGTCCCACAGTCTTGGTGGCCTCTGGGCCTCCTGGGCTCTGCTCCATCCATCTGGGCGGCCAGGCCTTCGCAGGCTGCTTCCAGGATGTACATGTGGAAGGGCGCCTTCTGCTGCCTGAGGAACTCAGTGGGAATGTGCTCCTGGGCTGTGAGCGCAGGGAGCCATGCCAGCCTCTGCCCTGTGCCCATGGAGGTGCCTGCGTGGACCTGTGGACTCACTTCCATTGTGACTGCCCTCGACCTTACCACGGGCCCACATGCACTGATGGTGAGGGATCAGCAGGCGGGGAGACAGCACTAATGCCAGGCTCTGGAGCCTGCCAGCCTCATCCTAGCACTCTCTCCCTGCAGAGTTTCCCACCGCTACCTTTGGCTTGAATGGCACCATGAGCTCAGCCTCCTTCTTGCTCCGGCAGCTGCCAGGCCCCAACCTCACTGTGTCCTTTTTCCTTCGCACCCGAGAGCCTGCTGGCCTGCTGTTCCAGTTTGCCAACGATTCAGCCACTGGTCTAACCGTGTCTCTGAGTGAGGGCCAGATCCGGGCTGAGGCATTGGGCCATCCTGCTGTGGTTCTCCCTGGGCGCTGGGATGATGGGCTCAGCCACCTGGTGATGCTCAGCTTTAGTCCAGACCAGCTGCAGGACCTGGGGCAGCAGCTGTATGTGGGTGGGAGGCTCCACCCTGCTGACACCCAGCCTTGGGGTGGGCCCTTCCGAGGCTGTCTCCAGGACCTACGACTCAATGGCCTCCACCTCCCCTTCTTTTCTTGGCCGGTGGACAACTCAAGCTGGCCCAGTGAACTGGATGCCCATCAGTCCTTTAACCTCACTCAAGGCTGTGTTTCTGAGGACATGTGTAATGTAAGTGTCTAGGAGAGGGTACTCAGCCAGGATTTGGGCTGTGACATGGGGTAAACTGAGGCTCAAAGCCAAGTGACTTGCTCACAGTCCTGCTACTAGAGTAGCAGAGCAGGACGGCACCCATCTCCTCCCTGCCCAGCTGCCCTTTCCCTCCAGTGGTCCTATGCTTCTCTGGTCCCAGTCTGAGGTGACCCCTTGACCTAGACAGAGGGCGGGCTTCAGCCATCCTGCAGTTGCTGCTTGAGGGAAAGAGACCCGTGGGCTCATGAGCAGAGCTCTAGTTGGAGGGGCCTAGTGTAAACTGAGCTAACCTCTTTATTGGCTGAGCCACTCAGGCTAGTGGCTCTGCCTCTCTGGGCCTAGTTCCTAATCTGGAATGTGTGTTGGCGAGTTCACCACTCTGTGGTGAGGAGGTCTTGGGTCTGCTTTCATGAATGCTCAATGGTGGTGCTCTGGTGCCCTGACTCTTCCACAGCCTGATCCCTGTTTCAATGGTGGGACTTGCCATGTCACCTGGAATGACTTCCACTGTACCTGTCCTGACAACTTCACAGGGCCCACCTGTGCCCAGCAGCTGTGGTGTCCCAGCCTGCCTTGCCTCCCGCCTGCCACCTGTGAGGAGGTCCCAGACGGCTTTGTTTGTGAGTGTGTGTCTTGGGTGCTGCATGCAGGACACTCAAGCTGGTTAGATTCCTTAGGGTTTATGGGATTCTGGACTGTGGACCAGGAATGCCAACAGCCTTATCTTGGTGCCATATGCCATTATATTCTGAGGGACAGAGGCTTTGGGAGGGAGGCTTGTGCTGGAGTTTCTAGGGCAACTGGCTGCAGAAGAACATTCAGGAAGGAGAAGTGGCATGTGTGAAGGTCCTGAGGTCCTTAAGGACAACTGAAACGCAAATATAGCAGGGTGCAGCAGGAGATGGGTTGAGAAATTGGCAGGATATTTGAAACCCAGGCCAGGCAGCCGAGTCCAAGGAGTCTCAACCAGCTCAGGCTGGCTTTGAACTCACTAAGCATCTAAAGATGATTTTGAGCTTCTGATCCTCCTACTTCAACCTCTCATTTCGGTACCAGGGACAGAACCCAGGGCCTCATAATGTGCTAGGCAAGCACACTCTACCAACTGAGCTATGTTGCCTCACAGAGGGTTTTAAAGACGCCTGGCTGCAGTGGGGTAAGCCTCCTTTAACGAAGAGGGAAGCAGCCTCCTGGATTTTTCCAGGATTATTACTATTGAGATTAGGCCTTTTGTGAGTAGGGGGCTAGTGTGGTCTCCTCAGGATTGCCCTGGAGCCGAATCCCCCAAGGTGGAGAATGCACGTGGGGTGGAATAGATGAAGTGGTGGGGAGGCTGCAGTTTCTGCGATTAGGTGACAGTCGAGTGGGTGCTCTGGTCACCAGTGGTGGACCTTACCATCTGCGCACCCGGGGTGGCGGTATGGAGGAGGCTGGCAGACCATTTCCCAGCCCCTCTTCCTTTCTCCGCAGGTGTGGCCGAGACCACGTTCCGCGAGGGCCCGCCTTCCGTGTTCAGCGGCCACAACTTGTCCTCTGGGCTCCCGCTCAGCGGTCTCTCCTTGGCCTTCCGCACCCGGGACCCGGAGGCCGGGCTCCTGCGCGCCACGGCGGGCGCCCACGTGGGCATCTGGCTGGCTGTGCACAACGGCTCGCTGGCGGTGGGCGTGGCCGGCTCCGTGCTGCCCGTGCCGGGGCCGCGCGTGGCCGACGGCGCCTGGCACCGCGTGCGCCTGGCCCGGGAGCGCCCCGAGGCCGTGGACTCGCGCTGGCTGCTGTGGCTGGACGGCGCGGTGACACCCGTGGCGCTGCGCGGCCTGGCGGGCGACCTGGGCTTCCTGAAAGGCCCGGGCGCCGCGCGAGTGAAGGTAGCTGAGAACTTCACAGGCTGCCTGGGCCGCGTGGCGCTCGGCGGCCTCCCGTTGCCCTTGGCGCGGGCGCGGCCCGGCGCCATCCCCGGAGCCCGCGAGCACTTCGCAGTCTGGCCAGGGTCTCCGGCCCCGCGCCTGGGCTGCCGCGGTGCGCCAGTGTGCACGCCCTCACCCTGTCTGCACGGAGGCGCCTGCCGTGACCTGTTTGACACCTTCGCCTGCGCCTGCGGCCCCGCCTGGGAGGGACCGCGCTGTGAGGCCCGCGCAGACCCGTGTCGCTCGTCGCCCTGTGGCCGCGGCCGCTGCCATGCGCGCCCCGACGGCCTCTTCGAGTGCCGCTGTCCGCCGGGCTTCTCGGGCCCACGCTGCAGGTGCAGGATGGCAGGGAACCTCCTGGGGCGGTGGGGCAGAGGTGGTTTACCAGGGGTAGGATAAGTAGACAGATGAGTTCCCAGCCTTCTTTGAGCCTTCATAGCCTCATTTGGGAAACAAGGATCACAGTTCAGTTCAAAGCATTTAAAGAAAAATACAGATTAAAACACAACTCAATTCGAATGTCAGAATCACATTGTGGCTTGGGATGTGTGACTCGGAAGGGCAGGGAGCTGCCCTCAGTGATGTAGACCCCCTGTGCATAACCCTAGTTGGGGAGGAAGAGTGAGGGGGTCAGTCTCTGGAGCTCCCCTTGCTCACCCCCTCCCACCTCTCCCCATTTCCTTATGTCTAGCCCTAGTCTGGCTCCTCTCACCCTGCAAGTTTAGGAACTGCTTTACCCTGTGCTGCCGAGTCCTTTAATTTCACCTTTTATTAAAGGCCTGGGTTCCTGCCTGCTCTGGGAGTGAGGAGAGCAGAGTGACAAGCCCTGTGTCCCTTCCTTTCCACCATGGGGAGCTCTGTAGGAGGTGGGCCTACATTCCCCAGAGGAGACACCAGGTAGCTTACATTACTGGGCAGGGCAGGTGTGGCCAGCTCCCAGCACCCCACCTCCAGCCTTGCATTTTCTCTGCAGGTTGCCTGTCCTGCCTGAGGAATGCGGCCTCAACTCTACATGCCTCAGTGGCAGCCCTTGTGAAAGTGGAACCCCGGGTACCAACTGCAGCTGTCAGGATGGCCTTGCTGGCCCCAGGTGGGTTTGGGGGCCAGGGGCCTGGGAGGTGAACTAGAGTGTTGGGCATGATGGCCCCTGGGTCCCCAGCCAGGACAGGGGAACTGGGATCCTCCCTGTCTCATCCTTCATTGTGTCAGCACCAGATGGCCCAGCACTGGGACTTCCAAGAACACCCTCTGTTATGCTGATACCAGCTGGACACCAGTTGTCCACTCAGTTTCTTTTATTTTATTTTTTGAGACAGGGTCTCCCTGTAGCCCCAGCTGGCCTGGAACTATGTAGACTAGGCTGGCCTTGAACTCACAGAGATCCACCTGTTTCTGCCTCCCAAGTGCTGGGATTAAAGGCGAGTGCCACCATGCCCAGCCTAGGACCACTTAGTTTCTTAAAGCCCTTCAGTTCTCAGGACCACAGGGGACATGGCCAAAGTATAGCTTCTGGGCTTCCAGGTGGGGCAGTCCACATCCCTGCCCTGCTGTCCCCTCCTCATTCTCATCGGAGTGGGAGCCTGTCTCAGTCATGAACACTGAGTCTGAGGGGAGGGACAGGTTGAAATCACCTTTAGCTCTGGCCACCTGGTAGGGTCCAGCCAGGCAAGAACAGTGGTTGAGCAGCTAGGGGAACAGAAGACAGCCATAAGTTGGGAGGACTTAGCTTTTTCAGCCTCTGTCTTTTCCAGGTGTCAGAGCCCTATCCTGCCCTGTGAAGCCAACCCCTGCTTGAATGGGGGCACTTGCCTTCTGGCAGCCAGTGGCACATTCGTATGTGCTTGCAAACTATGTAGACTAGGCTGGCCTTGAACTCACAGAGATCCACCTGTTTCTGCCTCCCAAGTGCTGGGATTAAAGGCGAGTGCCACCATGCCCAGCCTAGGACCACTTAGTTTCTTAAAGCCCTTCAGTTCTCAGGACCACAGGGGACATGGCCAAAGTATAGCTTCTGGGCTTCCAGGTGGGGCAGTCCACATCCCTGCCCTGCTGTCCCCTCCTCATTCTCATCGGAGTGGGAGCCTGTCTCAGTCATGAACACTGAGTCTGAGGGGAGGGACAGGTTGAAATCACCTTTAGCTCTGGCCACCTGGTAGGGTCCAGCCAGGCAAGAACAGTGGTTGAGCAGCTAGGGGAACAGAAGACAGCCATAAGTTGGGAGGACTTAGCTTTTTCAGCCTCTGTCTTTTCCAGGTGTCAGAGCCCTATCCTGCCCTGTGAAGCCAACCCCTGCTTGAATGGGGGCACTTGCCTTCTGGCAGCCAGTGGCACATTCGTATGTGCTTGCAGTACAGGATTCTCTGGCCAGTTGTGTGAAGTGGTGGTAAGTGATATCCAGGGGTGGGCTGGCAGCCACAGGCCTACTTAGGCCTTAGCAAGAGGGTTCTGGAAGGAATGGTCCAGCCCTCATGGACTTGAGCCTAGATGAACTTTACTTAAAGGAGACTGGGGTCCCTTCTCAGACCCCATGCAGGAAGTGTTTTCACTCTAGGGAGAGCTTGGGGACCCCACTATCCATGAGGCACAGTTTGGGTCTTCCCCCTTGGTGTTCAGGGGATGTCAGTGAGGACAGATGGGGTCTCCCAAGTTCACTCTAGGACTGGATTCTGGTCCCACAGGATCTCAGAGCCTATAATCTCCTTGGGTTCCAGAGCCCAGATTCTACCCACAGTAGTCTTGGTCACTCACTGTAGGTGTCCCTGACCCCAGGGAGGCTCAGCTGACAGGTGTGAAAGAGGGGCCAACACTGGAGTTCTGGAGAGGCGGTGAGCCCACAGTGGATGCTTATGTGGAGTTCTAGAAGGACAGTCTGGCCTTGATCTCTGCAGGTTTCTGGCAGGCCAGTCATAAACCAGGAATCCCTCTGCTTTGGGGGAAAGGTTGCTTTTAAGTTGAACTTTTACAGCTATGGCTTCCCCTCCCACCCACCCATTATCTTCCCAGGCCAGGGGAAGGAAATGACATTATAGCTCCTCCAGAAGTCCTGGGGAGGGGGCATGTGTGAACTTTGGGACCCTGTTCTACAGAGCTGAGTGCTGGGGTTGAGGACCCAAGTGACAGTGAGCTGAGAAGCCTCAAGATATAGGGAATGATCAGAGTGGGAGACTCGGGCTCTGGACTGCTGGGATTCTGATTCTAGGACTTAAGAGCTCCGAGCATGTAGAATCTTTGATGGGGGCATCATGAGAGTCTGTGACTGGAGATGGGGTGATTTGCTGCCCTCACCCATAAAGCCAGGTCCAAGTCTCCCAGGGACAAGCTAGCAGAGCAGGCCCCATAGACTGGCCGTGGTGACTGCTGTCCTTGTCATTGAGGCTCAGCTTATCCCAGCTTCTGTTCCTGCTTTAGCTGACAGTTGTAGGATCCTGTGAAGTGCCCTTCCCCATACCCTGTCCTAGGTACTCCAGGAATATCTGTTTGTCTGTCCTTCCAGAGCCCCTTGGCTGTGGAACACTCACCTTGCACTGGCTTAAGCAGGTGGCTCCCTGGCTCTGACCTATGCACCCCAGGGGCCACCGCTCTCACCAACTCCCAGGAAGCCTGCTTTTCTGAGTTCTCTTGTCTCCCATCTCTTGCAGAAAGGCCTGCCCCTGCCATTGCCATTCCCACTGCTGGAGGTGGCTATACCTGCAGCCTGTGCCTGCCTCCTCCTCCTTCTCCTGGGCCTCCTCTCAGGGATCCTTGCTGCCAGAAAACGCCGCCAGTCTGAGGGCACTTATAGTCCAAGTCAGCAGGAGGTTGCTGGGGCCCGGCTGGAGATGGACAGTGTCCTCAAGGTGCCACCGGAGGAGAGACTTATCTAGGCTGCCTGGCTGCTGGTGCCATGTCCCCAGGGTCCTAAAGGACCTCTACATAAGACCCAAGGAGACCATTTCCAGAGTTGGGATGTCCACTGGATATGCCCCCATGACTGGCAGCCCTTGCCTCACTCACCATGGACTCAGGAAAAGAGGGGCAACTCAGGGAAGCAGAGGGTGCTGTGAGGTTATAGAACCTTTGTGACCTGCCGGGCTGTATACAGGAGGCACACGTGACAGATGTGTGTGAGTGCGTGCATGTATGTATATGTGTTGTGTGAGAGAGAGACGGACACAGAGAGACAGAGACAGAGACAAAGAATGTGCATGGAGAGTGTTGGTCTGTAAATTCTAGTGACAGGACTTGTAGGTGTGCCTGTCTCTTTTGCTATGTGTCTCCATGACTATAGGAGGGGTAGATGATCCTACAGGGGAAGGACTGCTCCACGGCTGGAGAGAACCTGAACACCTTTGAGATAGGGCATCCCAAGTCCAGAGAACAGGCCAGAGCTTGCCCAAGCGGCTAGATTTTGGTTCTGGCATTTGTCCCACCTCCAAGGACAGTTCCCGATCCTGGAAACAGCTGGGACAGAGGGGAGAAGGGCTCTTGGCTCCCAGAACAAAAACCCTTTTGGGCAGATCTGACTGCACAGTCAGATATGACTGGGCCAGTCCCCCTGCATCTGCAGGGCAAGCCTGCAGGAACCAAGGAATGGCTCCCTGGGCTCTCATGTTGCTGTGGGTGTTTGCAGGAATACAGCAGCCCTTCTGCCTCCCTCACAGGGCTCTTCTGAGGATTCAATGGACTGAAACAGGCAGAGAACTCCAGAAGCTGTTAAACTCTGGTCTGTCTGCCCTTTCAGGTGTTGGATAGTGTCTCACCTGGCCAGAGCTGAAGGCCCAGGCAAGGAGGCCAGAGGGGCAGAAAGATGGAGGTGCAATCCTCCCCTCTTTACACCCCCTGAAAATTCTCCATCATCTGGTTCTCCAGTGTTGGCTGCTGATTCAGAGGAAGCACGCCAAGGAAGGTCCCAATTGTTTGCTAAACACTCTTCAATGGACATCGGGCAGCCTCCAAATTGGTGCTCAGGCTGCAGAGGCAGACTCCAGCCCTGTGGATACTCAGCACACTGATCTTGACCCCAGAGGGCATCTGTCTGAGGACCTGGCCTCCCTTGGAGCTTTTCAGAGTCCCTGTGGTTGGTCATCCTTGTTTCCCAGGCCAGGGCAGCAACTGGGGGTTCCATGTGCCAATGCCCAGGTCACTCTTCACACGTGGAAGCTGGATGTTGATTGTCTCTGGCTCCCACTGGGTTTCATCACTTCTAGAAGGCAGAGACTTGGCACTGGGGGTTCAGCAGAGGCTTTGATGGAAGACCCTGAACACTGAGCTAAGAGGCCTGCTTGGCCCTTATCCAGTAGGAGGTGGTACCACATTGCCCAGCTGTCTTGGTGACCCTTAGGAAAAGGAGATGAAACCAGTTCCCTGGCAAACTGTTCTAGTTGCCAACTCCTAAGGTGTTTTCTGTGGAACTCCAACAAGACATTCCAATTTCTCTTTGGTAACAGCAGTGTGGCTGACTGGCACAGATCTCCTCTCCAAACCCACTTGGGCTGAAGCTCTGCCCTTGCTGAGCTCTGGGGGTAGAGGTGACGTCCCAGATGCTCCCTGGAACTTTTTCTCTCCTGAAGCCTTGCTCTATGGTCCCAGCAGGGCTGTGTGAGCCTGTTATCAGCTCACCCCAGTGCCCTCCTTGGGAAGGAGGAGGCAAGCTGTCTCAGAGTTCCAAGTGGGCACAGGCTGGGAGTGTGGAGATCTGGTGTTTACCATCTGGCCTCTTCTGCAGGACGGTAGTGAAGATGGCAGAGTACCTACTCAGGCTTCCCCCTGCAGAGCTCCTTGAAGGATTCAGGACCACAGCCTTCTCCCCAAGAAGATTTTATCGAATGCACATACAAAGTTCATCCTTGGGTCTGTAAATTCCATCCAACAAGGGATCAGACTATGGTGTACAGTGCCTGCCACAAGTCCCCCAGCAAGGCAGGTGTGCACTGCTTTCCAGGCTGCCTTGTACCTTGTCACCCCTCTGGCCCACTGGGGGTGGTGATGTGTGTGGTTCCAAGTCCTGGGTGGGGTCTGGAGTTTGCTAGGATGGAGGAAGTGGAACTGGAGCCTGTGCTGAAAATCAGAATGCCCAGGAGGGCCTTGTGACTCAGGTGAGATTCAGCTCCCCAGCATCTGAGGACAACTCCAAGATAGAGCCCTGGGGAGGGCTATATGCCAGGGGCTCAGGCCTCAGGGACCCATAAGCAGCAGTAAGTTTCCAGCCTCTCAGACATGGGGGGGGGCTCCCTGGGGTGATAGGGGCCTCCAGAGACCCCTTTTTTCCTGTCAGAAACTCCAGGGTAGGCTGTCTGACCGTTCACAAGTAGGAAATGAGAAATCGGGTCAAATGCACACAATTTCCTGCATGTCTCCAAAGGATATTTTCTTAAATGGTTAGGCCATGTTTTACCTTGGTTTATTAAAAGGAGTCAATTTTCAAGATTCATCAAATCAATAAGGTAAAAAGGAAAGGCAAGATCAAAGAAACAATAACAAAACATTTCATTAACTTTGGTGACTTGGCCTCAGGAATTTCTGTGCTAGCGAGAAGCTAGAGATGGGTGGGGAGGGCTGGTTTCCAGGCCCCTTCATGCCCCAGGCTGTGGGGTCACATTTGTTCATTCCATGGGGGACCTGGGGGAGCCTGAGGCCCTGCCTGATCTTGACCCAGCTGTGCCTCCCCCATCAGTCTGTGGCAGAAAGCTTGGCCTTTCTTTGAGTTGGAATCTGGGTCACTGTTGCTCAGCTTTGCCCATGAAACCCCAAGTGGCAGGAGGCTGGGCCTGAGCTTTGATTGACATGAGAGCCCAGAGGTATCAGGGTAGCAGAGAGCTGAAGGCAACTCCTAACACTCAAGATTTGCAGGTTTCTTCTATAAAGCAGAGTTGCTGGTACTCTCAGCCTCTAGAAGGGCTGACTGGGGCTCGCAGTCACAAGGATCCCCAGACCCTTGGCCCCTAGGGAACAACTCAGGTTTGGGGGTTAGGCCAAGACTCAGGAAAGAGTATATTGCTAGAGAGGGTTTGAGGATACCCACCAGGGAGATCTGCCAACCTGTCCTCACTTCAGCCCTGCAAACACCTGTGCCTCCCACATGTGCATGTACATGGTAACACTGACATCTGTGCCCTCTGGGTAAGGGCTTGGCCAGAGGAGGAGAGCGGGGTTTGAGGAGGACCTTGAGCTTCCTGGCTCCTCCTGGGCTATGTGGAAGGAAGATGGTAGGACATGGTTGACCCAGCTGACCTCTAGTGCAAAACCCAAACGGTACTGAGGAGGGTGGCAGGTGGTGGTTCCCAGACTGCAATGTACCATTTCCCAGGGTCAGGCCTCAGAGATGGGCAGTATGGAGGGGAGGGGATAGAGTCCATTCACCCAGTGGACCCTGCAGAGAAATGGGACCGGGGAAGGTACAGTGCTGGACGGTGGCTCGGGCCTAGCTGGCCCAACCTCTGGGCCTACTCACTCAAAGGTCTCCCACTGTCTGCGGAGCTGCTCTACTGAGGCTGAGGCCGGGGCTGGACTCACATCTTGCTTGGTTTTCAGTAGCAAATCCTCAAAGGGGTCTCTGGCCTGTGCAGGAGCAGAGGGCTGCAGGGCTGGTTCCAGGCCCTGGGGGGGTCTGGGAGGCAGCAACGGGGGTTCTCCAGGCCTCAGGGTCAACCCCTGCTTGGCCTCAGCAGCCCTGGCACTTGAGCGGGCCAGAGGCAACGTTCGGATCCTTGAGGGGGCAACTGCTGGGGGGCCAAGTGGCTGCAGGGGGCTAGTGTGGGCACCCATGGGCATCTGGCCAAAGAGGTTGGGCATGGAGAGGGCAGATAGGTTGGGCTGAGACCTGTGAGGGGCACAGAAGCCAGAACCAGACATCAGGAGGCTAGGTGCAAATGCTGGGCCCAGGGATGCTGGAGGGGCCCCGAAAGACCTGGCTGGTGTGGAGCCCAGGGGCAGAGTGGGTGGTGCCACCGGTACAGATGGGACAAAGGGGTTGAGTGGAGGCTGTGAGAAAGGGGAAGGGGTCACTGTGGGGGGGAAGCTGAACTGGGGGATAAAGGAGGTGGCCACACTTGGGGTGGCAGGATATGGCGGGACAGTGCTGCCTGACCAGGCCGTGTTAAGTGGGTCCAGGAGGGCAAGTAGGGCATCACTGCCTGTGCCTGGTGCTCCTGGGGCTGGGCTGAGTGGCTGTAGCAGTTCTGTGTGGTCTTGGGAAACAGCACTGGGGAGCAGGCCTGGGAACAGGGCTGGGCTCAAGGCAACTCGCCTTTCCCGGTCCATCTGTAGCTGCTCTGAGAAGTCCCCAAGTGGGCCGCCAGTAGCCTGGAGCTTGACTGGGCGGGCAGTGGGTGGTGGAGGCACGATGCCCAGCTCAGGGGTCTTTCTGCCTTGTGGCCGGGGAATGGTGATGCTGCCAGGAGTGGGGGTGGGAGCCTCCTCCTTGCTGCTGGGGCTCAGGATGCTGTCCCGGTTCTGAGGCCTGTCAGGCAGGGCTGGGGAGGTCCCGAGCAGAGCAGAGGGCTTCTCAGGGGAGGTAGTGGAGGGTTTGTTGGGGATGGCCATGTCGTCCTGGCCCAGGCTCCAGAGCTTAGTATATGGGTGGGCAAGCTTCAAGGCTGCTGCCATGCTAAGGCCTCTCTCACTCCTGCCCAGGTCCAGCCTCTGTAGGGAAGGATGGAGAAAGTGGTGAGCACAGACTGGCCTGGGACAAGCAGTAGAAAGTACACGCCTGTTCCCACCTCCTCCTGCACACCACACAGGCACTGGGACTGTACTCCCAGGTATGTGGCCAATTGGCTCTTGGGACCTGGGGCAGTTTATAGGCACCCTAGGCCACGCTCAGAGGCCCAGGTCTGTCTGGACTCCAAGCCTAGGCCTCCAACTGTGTCCACAAAGAGATTCCAGAGGTCTCTCTTGTCTTTTTTTCAAAAGCCAGTGCTTGCCAAGTAGTTTTAGGAAAATGCCTCCATCTTTAATAAAGGCTTGTGCCTATTTAGACAATGCAGTGCCTTAGATCACACCCAAGAGGGCAAGCGAGGCTCCAGGCCTGGTTGAAGGCACACTGACAGGAGGAAGGGGTACTGGGTTTGAGTCCTGACTCTGCTACTTCCAGGTCACTTAATTGGGGCAAGTCACTCCCCTTCTCTTGGCCTGAGCATTGCCAGCAGGTAGGACAATCTGTGAATCCCAGCCAGTCAGCCGAGAGAGGGGAAGTGACTTGACAGTCATAGCGGGAGGACTGATCCAAAATCCAGGAGTTTTGATCCAGAGTCTCTTGTAAGGAGCACCAGTGGGCCTGGACAAGCTTGGTAGCAGCAGCCCACCCCTCTGAGATAGAACAAAAATAAGCAGAAACCTCCCCCGCTGTGTGGGCCTCATTCCCAGGGCAGCTGGCAGCATAGTGGCTACTGGCATGTGGGGCAGGGTTGGAGCACTGGTTGAAGACCTCAGAAGAATTAGGGTCTCCCCAGTCATCTCCACTGTGACTTGGAGAACCTACCTCATGTATGGGAGGCACCTGAGCAGCTACCATGCCTTGCTCCCTCCATACCTGGTAGTCAAAGGTCCCTGGCTGCTCCTGCAAGTCTTTGGGAGCCCGGAGGTCCTCCAAGCTCTTGGCTTGGCCCAGTGGCTGCAGGGGTGCCTCCATGTCCAGGCTACTGAAGACATCTTCCAGGAGGTCAATGCTGGCAGCTCGGTCAGGTGGGACAGGGATAGGACCCTGGGGCTCCTGCACCAGTTGCTCTGGACTCTCAGCCTCATCACCTTCCGCACTGTCTGACTCCTTCAGTGTCCGGTAAGGCTGTGGCCTGGGAGGAGACAGAGTCAGCTGGATTCTTCCGCCCCAGGTATCTATGAGAGGGGCAGGTGGTCTTACCTTCTAAGTGTCCAGGCCTCCAGGCCTAGTGTTCTGGGGTTCCCCTGTGGCTGGAGCCTGGTGGCTTCTGAGTATAAGCTATACCCTCTGACAGACCTGGTACAGGATTAGGATCTGCCCCTTGTTTTGTGATCTTGGGCAAGTTGCTGTGGCTTTTACTTGCCCCAGAGCCACAGGTCTTTGTATATAACACTAGAGGAACTGGTGAGGACCAGAGGGGGCATCCACAGGTGGGCACATGTGTTCCTTGACCCACTCGCTCCCCCATATGGTGACTAACCCTACTTTCAGAATCAGTCTCAGAATCTTAGGGGACATGTTGATGCCTTAGCTTGTGTGACTTGTTTGAGCCCTGGTTCCATTTCTTGCTGTGGGAATTTGTGTGACCTTTCTGAGCCTCAGCTACTCAGGTGGTAGTGACCTCATGAACAAGTACAGCAGGCATGCAGAGGCTGCTGACAGAATCAGTCACCCACCAGCAGGCACAGCTGTCACCTGGGCTCTATGCTTTCTGCATATCCACAGATCAAAACCTTGCTGGGTGAGCCTCAGGGCTCCACTGGTTTTGGGAAGGCAGTGGCTGCCCAACCCTGACCTCTAGTGGAAGCTGGCTAGAACAATATGTCCCCTCCAGGGTCAGGTGGGGAGTTTGCTCATGGTGCTGGTAAAGCTGGTAGAGGGCTCCATCTGCTGGTCATCAGCAGGCTGATCCCAGAGACCCACTGAAGGATCAGTCAGAAGACTGTCCCAACTCCGAACAGGGACTCATCAGACTATATAGTCTTCCTGAAGCAATGGAACCAGCCTGTGAAGCAAGACTTATATCCCACCTTATAGATGAGGAAACAGAAACTCAAAGAAGTTAATTAGATCACTCTGTGTCTCACAGCACCCAGCAAGAGGTGGAATGGAAGCCAAGTTTGAGAGACTCCAAAGTCCTTCCCTCACTCTGACCAAGACATCTGACCAGGGAATTAAAGCATCTTTAATCTAATCTGAGCACAGTGTAGTCAGCATACTTCTTAAACACCGGGAAAGAGGGCTTTTTAACCCTCTGTGTTCCGAGTCAGGATGAACAACTTTTTAAAAACACAGGAAGCCCTGAACTGTCTCTGAGGTTCAGACTAAGGAAGGGAAATTTAAATAAATTAAATAAAGAAGGCACTGGGGTGGGGGTGGGGGTATGGGAGTCTCAGAGGCAGACTGTGCTAGTCTAATATGTTTGAGGCCCTGGGTTCCATTTCCAGTACCATGAAAAAAAGAAGCATCAGTTAATCATTTAATTCAGAGAACTTGGACTTGCTGGGCTCACCAGTGACAGAATCACTGGAAGTCACCCAAGAAGGCTTGTTCCTGTGAGGTGATCCAATGGTCCTCTCCGTTCTAACTCAAAATACATTAGCAGACACATTAAACCTGTGCTATCCTAAGACATTACTACTGAGGACAAAGCTGATTCTTCAAACATTTAAAAGAAAAAGATCAAAGAGAAAGAGCTAATGTACAGAAAAGGGGTATGTGAAGCTTGGGCACCTCAGGCTTAAATGGAACACTGCTGTGGTCCCAGGTGATCTGTAGGAAGGAAAGGGACAGGATACTCCTACTTTATGGGTGCTGTTGTAGGACGCAGAGCAGCCTGGGACTTAGATGGTCTCAGATGAATACACAAGCCTAGCTCACAGGGAGGGACCTGATGCTGGGGAACTGTGTCCTGGGGACCTTGGTCAGGGAATAGAGAAGTGTGAGGGAGACAAGTCTCCTGGCTGTGAACTGACTAGTAGCTTGCTCTCTGAAGGCTGTAGGGACCTTCCCTGAGGACTCCTGGGAAGAACATTTGTGTGTCTGTGGTAAATAAGAACACATCAAAGCTGCTCTCTGCTCAGACTCAGTTCTGAAGAACCCATGTGTGGAACTGCATGAACTACAAGGACAGGGACGCCACAAAAGATTGCTTCTAGGGGATGGTTGAACTTTTTTCCATTTCTTTTTTTTTTTTTAAGGTAAATCTTTTCTTTTAAAAAAGTTGCTGTTTGTAATTTATATAAGGCTTAGGTTATACATAATACTGATAAAAATTATCTTAAGAAACTCAGATAATTTATAACATGTAGATATACTAGTATTATTTATATATTTGGAGACAAGGTCTTCTTGTATTAAACTCAGACTGGCCTGGAAGTTGCTATAGCCCAGGCTGGAGTCAAACTTACAGTCCTACCACAGTCTCTCAAGTGCTGAGATTACAGGAGTGAGTCACCACACCTGGCTGCTGTGCTGATATCAGAAATACATTTCATATCATTAAAGCTTGCTTTTTACTTAAAATCCACCTTCCTGTCTCCATGGCTTTCTAAGATGCACTGAGAGGAGGAGGGTCAGCAATCAGGCTCACCGTGGCCACCAGTTCCATTTTTCAAGCTCACTTTTCCCCTTACAAGGAAAGGGGATGGGTGCTTCCATCTTACCAGGTCACCTCACTCTGCTGTCACAGCCCCTATGGGGCTGGCAGAATGGGTGCCCGAGAAGAGGCCTGTAGGGATGACAGCTACCCTGCAAGTTGGCACCACAGCACCTTTGTCCCCATAAGAGCAAGCAGCCCCAGGTCCCCACATCCCCTCATGCACCCCAAGAGTCACCAGACTGAGCCCAAGGATATGGAAGGAGGAAGAGAGACCATTCAAAAGGAGCAGAGAAGAAAAAGCCTTCAGTGAAGCCGGTGCTCGGGGTCTCTTCCCGCCGGCATTCCTCGTCAGAGGAGTCTTCAGAGAGGAAGATGGCATAGTGTCGCAAAGGCTTTACCAGGCTGGACAGAGGAAGACGAGAGAGAAGACGTGGTTAGGGTACCATAAGAACACAGGGTGAGGAGGAGGCCCAGAGGCACTGACTAGGGTGAGGATGCTGGTTCTGAGCAGAGAGGAAACTGGGTTCACCATGTGTATCAAGGCCCTACCCACTTCCGGTAGGATAACCCTAAATTAGCAAAGAACCATACCCAAAGATGCTCACCCTGTTCTCTTTATAATATTAAAACACAAAAGCACGCAAGTTCCAGCAAGAGGAACTGAGTACCGGTGCAGATTGCTATCCTCATGTAATGCTTTTGAAGAGAATTTCAAACCATACTATACAGTTGTGATTTCTACAGCTGGCCCTCCCCATATATGTAGGCTTCATATCCACAGATTCAATCTGCTGTGGGATGAAAATATTGGGGGAACCCTTGCATCTGTACTAATAATGTATAGACTGTTTCTCCTGTCATTATATTATCCCCTAAATATAGTTCAACAGCTATTTACATAGCATTTACACTGGATTAGCTATGCTAAATAACCTAGAGATGATCTGAAGTTTACAGAAGGGTGTGTATGGGTTCTATGGAAAAACCGCATCATTTCATAGAAGGGACTTGAGCATCCTGGATTTTGGCATCTAGAACTAATTCCCTGAATTTTCTCTCATCTATCTGTAGAAAACTGCATAGGGGGAAAAAAAAAAAGACTGGAAAAGCACATGCTTAAATTCCAGTAATGGCAGGTGGGATTATGGGTGATTCCCCCACACTCACTTCTTTTTATTTTCTGCATTGTGCATATCTACTTCAATAATCAGGGGGGAGAAAGTTAAGGAAAAAAGTGAGTCATGTGGAAGAGCCTCTGGAGACAGCCCTTTTCTGATAAGCACGCTCTCTGGAGTCCCCCTCGGCTGCTTCTTCAGAGTCTTTTTCATCTGTGATATGGAAATTAAATATTCATAGTTATAAAAAATACATCTCCCTTGTCAGCCACCTGTGAGCTACCTCTACAAACAAACACATATACTCAAAGCTCAGAGAATCCACACCTAGCTCCTATGAATTATATACTGACCAGAGCCCATGAGGGGCCATAGGCTTGGGAGAGGAGAGCTGGACCTGTGGCTGGTTCAAATTCTGGCCCCACCATGGATGCTGCTGCAGCTGTGTGCTGGCAAACAGGTGGTTCTAACCCTCTGCCTCCCTCAGTGGCTTGGCTTGCTGTGAGGAGCTCCAAGAGGAGAGGTAATGGTGAAGTTAGGAGAGATCGTGAGGAGACGGTGTTTGCACCTGCTCTTCCAAGCACCTCCTTCTTGCGGCTTCTTTAATTTTATTTTACTTTATTTTATTTTTGAGGTGGGGGGGCTTGGTAGTCCCAACTGGCCTGCAACTTGCTATGTAGACCAGGCTGGCCTCAATCTCATAGATATGCCTGCCTCTGCTTCCCAAGTAGTAAGGTTAAAGGCATGCACCATCATGCCTGACTTCCTATGGTTTCTATGCTGGGATTCTTTCTGATTTATTCAGGGAAGGGAACAAGTGCACAAGAAGCCCAAGAATCTGAAGGGTGAAGGAGGGACAGCAGTGCTGTGGTCCCTATTGTTGGTGCTGACCTGTTGTCACCCAAAGCTGGTTCCCAGAGTCAAGCACTTTCCCCTGTGTGCCCTCATTTCTTTCCCTGTCCCTCCTGGCTGGTCAGGGCAGTTTTGTCCTTAAGCTGCAATGGCGGTTGCAGCTCCCTGGGGAAGGAAGCTACTAGCAGGGTGTGGCCAAGGCTGCAGGCCACCTGGGCATGAGATATTCAATTCTTCTTGGACTGGAGAAGGATTGGCTGTGGAGGGATGCTGAAGCCAGGGACTCTGACTGGAAGAAATGTGTCCTGACCTGTCCTGAGTAAAAGACTCAGTCCCTGTTGCTTCCATAGCAAACAAGGTGGAGCAGAAGGGCCACCTCCACACAGACAGCCACCTGACCCTGCCATTCTTCTGCTCAACCCCTGAGGCAAATGTGCCATTCTGAACTGGGATGCCGCTGCATTTGGATGTGTGCTGAGTAAATGCACTGCAGAAAGGGCGAAGGGGAACACTCAGACACCGGGATCTGAGAGTATGTGTGTGTGGGGAAACCACTCATTCTCCCTAGGATGGGGCTACTACTAGCAGGTAGGGTGCAAGCTTAGCATGCTCACTCTGTTCTGGGCAGCTCTAGGTCCAAGCAGGATGTGGTGCTGCATGTGGCCCTGCCAGTCCCTGCAGCCCCCTCCCCTTCGTCCCTTATCCGTTAGCTGGCTTACTGTCTTTGAGTCAGAGGCCCTCAACTCTTGGGTCCCAGCCCAGCACACTGACTGCTCTTCCATGTTGAAGGCTTGATCTGAATATCATCCCTAGGAAGTCCCCTGGGCCTCTCAGTTCTCCCTGGCTCCTCATAGATCCCATTTAACCTTCTACAATTCCATTCCTGAGTTGAGTTACTCAAGATTGGGGTTGGCTGCTGCTGCATTTCTTCCATCTGGGGTCCATATTAGTATGATGGAAATTTCTGGTTGAAGGAGCGAGAGCTGGCATACTGGGGATACCCACCACCACCTCCTCCTCCTGGAGCACCCACAGCATCGCACCAGATTCTTTCACCAATCTATGGCTATGGTAGACATGCTCCCTCTCTGTATTCCCTATCTGCTCTCTGAGACACTCAGATGCGGAGAACACAGCACCAGGGATAGATACCTCAGGAAAGGGTTCAGATAAACACAACAGGCAAGCACCGTGTACAGCAGCCTAGCAGGAAGAACACCACATTAACTTTATACAGAACAAGGCCTTTGAGAGTCCATTCATCCATTCTTCTACCTGTCTGTCTGAACACCCAGCAGAGGGCACTTCCTGCCTGTTCATAAGCGGACCCAGTGCTAGCTGGGCACTGGGGACCACCGACAAGGAGAGAGAAGTGACCACGTAACTAAGTCAGGAAGCCATGCAGGAATTCTATGCCGGGCTTTGTCCTGAGGGCCTTCAGTTCAGTGTCCCAGCACTGATGGTGGATGGACACAAGCCCCTACTTGGATCACATGGAATGAAGTGCTTTGTGGTCCTCAGATCCACCATGAATGCCTTTCTGACAGCCCCCCAAAAGCACATATGCCACTTCATCATGATAGCTGACTACCACTAGGTCTGCCACACGTGAATTCAGAGAGCCAAGAGCCTTCGTGCTAAGCAGGATCTTGGCATCTGTAAGTCAGGCTGCTGAAGTGCAGGGCACTGGTGAAACCCAGAGCCTCCCACATGGTATGACTGTAGAAGGCAAGAGGGATGAGAAGTCCCATTTTCTGGTCTAGTCAGGTTGGAAGTTGGGTTTCTCCCCCAGCTGGCTCTCCAGGCCCCGAGTGTCTGTAACACACCACTGTTTCTTGAGTCACAAGGTACCAGGGTGAAACTTGCTGCGTGATTTGGTCAGATCGGAGCTTTGTCATGTCCAGGCCACATGGATGAAGAAGATACCACTAGCAGAACTCATAAGCACTGGGCTAAATGTCATCTATAATTTCTTACTAACCCTTCTTGACAGACAAAAGCCAAGGCTTGGAGACTGGGAGTCCCTTGCCTGGGGTCACACAGCAGCTGATAGTAGAACCAGAATGGGCTCTGGATTTGCCTCTTTCTAAATCACCACAGGGTCCTGTGGCCTGTTTTCTGGAGCTGAAACAATGAAACGAGAGGTAGGGTGTTTCCCCTTCCTCTTTTAATGAAAGATGAGGTTTCCAAAATAAACTTACTTAAATTCAGCTGCTCATGTTCTCCCATGGAAGATACAGTCAGATATTTGTCAGAGATAAAGGATGAACCATTGAAAACGTCCAGGTTTAAATTTTTTATTAGCTTAAGGCAGAATATGGGAAAAAAATGTACCTCTTCCCTCATTAACCCAATTCAGCTACTACCCTGCAGTCTGCCCCCCACTACTTGCCTGGATTTTATTACCAACAAAGGGCTGTCTAGGAAAAGGCAGGCCATGGTGAACTTAGCTACCCATTGAGGGCTGCGATGCCTCTGTGTGAAAGAAAGGCTCTCTGTCCATCATGGCTCAGACCCATCATCCCCCCACCACCCTGCCTTGCCCATTGCACTGCAGTGGAGTTCCCATGCGGATGACTCCTGAGCCCTTTCTAATGTTTGGTTTAACGTGTCGCTGGTTAGCACAAGTGTGTGACAGTGGTGACAGGCGAGGCTGTTCCTTTTTAAATACCATGTCAGAGACACGGGCGTCAGGAAGCCGGGACGTGCTCTGTGCTCTCTGCTGCGCCAGGATCGCGCCAGCTTATTTTTTAATGAGGAAGATCTGCATCTCGAGGATTTTTTTCATGTGTCACATCGCGTGGACAAATCAGCAGCACGTCACGCTGGCCCAAAATGAAATGCTGACAAATGTAGATATTTCAAATTTAATTGACATTTAAATGCACTTGAGATAAAGATGGGAAGAAATCAGCCAGGTCTCGGTCTCCAGAGGTAATGAAGGGACGCCGTGATCATTTTAGAAGGTTCATTTCACTCTGGCACAAAGGGTCTTCACTTCATAAATGGCCTAGGGTAACATGTATGGACAGGCCTCAGGAGAAGGCCAGCTTGTCCACTATCCACCTCCTTCTCTTCCTTTTCAGATACCTTGGCAAAGTCACTTTACCAAGGGCTTTGCACATACTGAATGTTCAGCTGTCCACATGCCCTATTCACCAGCCAATGAAGAGATGCTGGGTGTCTGTATCTATACAGGGTCTTCCTCGAGTGTTTAGGGATAAAGAGGTGGTAGCTGAGAGAGTCCTCCAGGTGAGTGGTCCTCTGCTGGCCGTATCTTGGTACATGGGTGTCATCTAACCACCCTAATGTGGAGTTCCCATTTCTCTCCATCCCCATGCTACAAGTCCAGTTCCCCCTGACCACAGGTTTGGCAGTGGCTGAGAAAATGGAAGAGGTTCTGAAGCAAGGCAGAGCATTTCTGGGGAGCTAGTA